CACTGTTCACCTGAAACCATCCCACACTGTTTGTTCATCAGTTATAGCCTGATACAAAATGAAAAGTTTAACAACAAACAAACAAAAGACCCCAGGCTCTGGACTCCCTGGTGGCCCAGGGTTGAGAAGTCACCAGCCGATGCAGGTACAGGGGTTTGATCCCTGTGCTGGGCTTAGTTGCTCAGTCGTGTCCAACTCTGCAATCCCAGGGACTGTGGCCCACCAGGTGCCTCTGTCCATGGGGATTCTCCAGGCAAGAATACTGGAGTCGGCTGCCATGCCCTCTATGGGTTTGATCCCTGGTCCCAGGCTCAACAGTTTTGGTGCATGGACTTGGTTGCTCTGAGGCATGTGGAATTTTCCCAGGTTGGATCCCTGGTCCAGGAAAATTCCACATGCCTCAGAGTAACTAAGTCCATACACCAAAACTATTGAGCCTGCATGCCACAACTACTAAAGCCCTCGCACCTAGAGCCTGTTCTCCTCAAGAAGAGCAGCCACTGCATGAGAAGCCCGGGCACACAACTAGAGAGAGGCCCCCACTCACCACTAGAAAAAACCCAGTAACAAAGCCCCCTGGGCAACTGAATACAATAAGCAAATATTTTTAAGAAGATCATGGATAAAGGATATACTTCACGAAGAAGGAAAGTGATTCCAGGAGAACAAAAGCTAGCAAAAAATTGGTGAAAAAGTGAAAAAAAGAAACTTAACTTACATATTAATTGCATTAAAATAAAATGCTTAATTCAAAGAACTTGAAAATAACACGGTAGAATTATTATACTGAATTGACTAATTAATCAATTAATATACTGAATTAAGTGATTCACTCTAGTGCCCTTCTTCTGGAAGCTTATCCCTTCTACCAACACAACCTCCAACCACCCACTTGATTACTAAATGTCACCAAATTAGCTCAGTGTGGCCCCTCACCAAAACTAACTGTCCAGAGGTGTACAACTGGCCCAAGTAGGAGCAAACATGCACAATCTTTAGAAACTACAAGTATGAAAGTTGCTTCAGTCATGTCCGACTCTTTGCGATCCCATGGACTGCATGCAGCACGCCAGGCCTCCCTGTCCATCACCAGCTCCCAGACATTACTCAAACTCATGTCCATCGAGTTGGTAATGCCATCCAACCATCTTAACCTCTGTCATCCCCTTCTCCTCCCACCTTTAATCGTTCCCAGCATCAGGGTCTTTTCCAATGAGTCAGTTCTTCGCATCAGGTGGCCAAAGTATTGGAGTTTCAGCTTCAACATCACTCCTTCCAAAGAACACTCAGGACTGATTTCCTTTAGGATGGACTGGTTGGATCTCCTTGCAGTCCAAGGGACTCTCAAGAGTCTCCTCCGAAACCACAGTGATCAATTCTTCAGCCCTCAGCTTTCTTTACAGTCCAACTATCACATCCATACATGACTGCTAAAAACCATAGCCTTGACTAGATGGACCTTTGTTGGCAAAGTAATGTCTCTGCTTTTTAACACACTGTCTAGGTTGGTCATAGTTTTTCTTCCGAGGAGTAAGTGTATTTTAATTTCATGGCTGCTGTCATCATCTGCAGTGATTTTGGAGACCAAAAAAATAACGTCTGCCACTGTTTCCACTGTTTCCCCATCTATTTGCCATGAAGTGATGGGACCAGATGCCATGATCTTAGTTTTCTGAATGTTGAGCTTTAAGCAAACTTTTTCACTCTCCTCTTTCACTTTCATCAACAGGCTCTTTGGTTCTTCTTCACTTTCTGCCATAAGGGTGGTGTCATCTGCCTATCTGAGGTTATTGATATTTCTCCTGGCAATCTTGATTCCAGCTTGTGCTTCATCCAACCCAGCATTTCTCATGATGTACTCTGCACACAAGTTAAATAAGCAGGGTGACAATATACAGCCTTGACCTACTCCTTTTCCTTTGGAACCAGTCTGCTGTTCCATGTCCAATTCTAGCTGCTGCTTCCTGATCTGCATACAGATTTTCAAGAGGCAGGTCAGGTGGTCTGGTTATTCCCATCTCTTTAAGAATTTTCCACAGTTTGTGGTGATCCACACAGTCAAAGGCTTTGGCATAGTCAATAAAGCAGAAGTAGATGTTTTCCCAGAACTCTCTTGCTTTTTCGATTATCCAGTGGATGTTGGCAATTTGACCTGTGGTTCCTCTGCCTTTTCTAAACCCAGCTTGAACATCTGAAAGTTCACGGTTCATTTATTGTTGAAGCCTGACTTGGAGAATTTTGAGCATTATTTTGCTAGTGTGTGAGATGAGTGCAATTGTGCAGTAGTTTGAGCATTCTTTGGCTTTGACTTTCTTTGGGATTGGAAAGAAAACTGACCTTTTCCAGTCCTGTGGCCACTGCTGAGTTTTCCAAATTTGCTGGCATATTGAGTGCAGCACTTTCACAGCATCATCTTTCAGGATTTGAAATAGCTCAACTGGAATTCCATCACCTCCACTAGCTTTGTTTATAGTGATGCTTTCTAAGGTCCACTTGACTTCACATTCCAGGATATCTGGCTCTAGTGAGTAATCACACTACCGTGATTATCTGGGTCATGAAGAGCTTTTTTGTATAGTTCTTCTGTGTATTCTTGCCACCTCTTCTTAATATCTTCTGTTTCTGTTAGGTCCATACCCTTTCTGTCCTTTATTGAGCCCATCTTTGTATGACATATTCCCTTGGTATCTCTCATTTTCTTGAAGAGATCTCTAGTCTTTCCCATTCTATTGTTTTCCTCTATTTCTTTGCACTGATCACTGAAGAAGGCTTTCTTATCCCTCCTTGCTATTCTCTGGAACTCCGCATTCAAATGGGTATATCTTCCCTTTTTTCCTTTGCTTTTCACTTCTCTTCTTTTCAAAGCTATTTGTAAAGCCTCCTCAGATAGCCATTTAGCTTTTTTTGCATTTCTTTTTCTTGGGGATGGTCTTGATTCCTGTCTCCTGTACAATATCACGAACCTCCATCCATAGTTCATCAGGCACTCTATCAGATCTAGTCCCTTAAATCTATTTCTCACTTAAACTGTATAACCGTAAAGGATCTAATTTAGGTCATACCTGAATGGTCTAGTGGTTTTCCCTACTTTCTTCAATTTAAGTCTGAACTTGGCAGTAAGGAGTTCATGATCTGAGCTACAGTCAGCTCCTCGTCTTGTTTTTGCTGACTGTATAGAGCTTCTCCACCTTTGGCTGCAAAGAATATAATCAATCTGATTTCAGTGTTGACCATCTGGTCACGTCCATGTGCAGAGTCTTGTGTTCTTGGAAGAGGAACGTGCTCCATGGAATTCTCCAGGCAAGAATACTGGAATGGGTTGCCATTTCCTTCTCCAGGGGATCTTTCCAACCCAGGGATCAAACCCAGCTCTCCTGTTTTATCTTCTTTTAGTTTTGCTTCCTTTTGGTCTTTACCCTACTGGGCTCTTGGGGAACTGTGAGTATGTATAACAGCATCTACCATACCTCATCATTTTAGCTTAGGCTGGATCTGAAAAGCCAAAACAGAAAAACACTGAAGAAGCCCTGAGACTCACAGAGAAATAAATTAGAGCTGCTGTTTAAGCTTCGCTTTCCTCTTCATTATTTACTTTTTTAAAATGTAATCTCTCCTTTTATCAACCTTCATCATTTCATACTGTAAGCAAGTGAAATCACTAACAGTAAATAACCTTATGAATCTACTGAGTGTGAAGAGAAAACGCCATGGTATAGATTATGCATGAAGAGGGAAACACTTAACTCTAGGGGCTTACAGTTGGTAAAAACTCAGGCTTTACTGTACAATAAGTATCATTATGTGTTACACAATTACTGGGTACTGATTGCCTGCAGTGATACAAGCATAAGCAATCCTTCAAAATAAAAATCAAGAAACTACAGACAATCAAAAGCAAAGAGCAGGAGTCAGTAGGTACCAACTTGTCTTCATGAAGTGCTGCATGCCTTGACGATGCCTCCTCCTATTTCTGCTATCTGAAGTGCTTCCTCCTTTCCTTCTTGTCTAAACAAGGACCCAGTTTCAGCCTTCCCTACTCCCTTCATCTGTCCATCTTCCTAAATGATAAGAAGTGAAAAATAACCTCTGTGGACTGACAGTATACTAGGAATTTTACATCACCACTTTTAGGCTTAACTACACCCTCAAGCTTCCCTGGTGGCTTGGAGGGTAAAGCGTCTGCCTGCAATGCAGGAGACCCGGGTCCAATCCCTGAGTGAGGAAGTTCCCCTGGAGAAGGAAATGGCAACCCACTCCAGTACTCTTGGCTGGAAAATCCCATGGATGGAGGAGCCTGGGAGGCTGCAGTCCATGGAGTCGCAAAGTCGGACACGACTGAGCGACTTCACTTCACTCACACCCTGAAGAAGGAAATGGTAACCTACTACAGTATCCTTGCCTGGAAAATCCTATAGACAGAGGAGCCTAGCGGGCTATAGTCTACAGGGTCGCAAAGAGTTGGACCTAAGTGAACGATGGAGCATGAGCACGCTGGAAATGACAGCCTTTGCTGTCATTTGCTGAGTCTCTCCACTCATCATGGCAGAGTCATTTGTCTTAAAGAACATTACCTTATTTAACACCTTCCCAACCTTGCTATATGCTTACATGTGTCCTCTGCAGCTTGATTGTTGCATTCTCAATTACAGGAACTACGTCTTCTACTTCACTCTTACCTCCACTCATCTTTTTTACTTTCCTCTCTTTCAAAATACACCCTTCCTAGTTCTCAAGCTGTCCTCTTTACTACCACAATTATGACTAATAATAAAAGCTATTATTTACATTATTTTACACTGTACTAACAGTCTGCTAAATACAAAACATTTCATTTAATCCTCACAATAATCCCTAATGTAGGTATTATCTTCCCATCTCACAGAGGAAGAGAGAGGCTTGGAGATTTTAAAGAACTTGCTCTCTCGCAGAAGATGAAACATCACTGTGGACTGCCACAATGACCACAGCCCTCACTGTGATTTCCCACCCTCCACTCTCACCCTCTGTGACAGTCTGTACCATGACAACTTTCACGTTCAAACTACACTTCCAGAATCCTCTTCCCACCAGGTTCCTGGTGAGAGATAGTCAAAGACGGAAATTACTCTCTGAAGATTAGGGTTAGATAGTTGGATGCAGAGTTGACAGAGTATTTCACTGTGTCTCTGCTCTCCCCTGTATTGCATGCAGCTCTTTCTTATTGTCAACCCTGCCAACCAAACAGCAACCTCAGGCCTACAATCAAAAGCTGGACTGAAGACAGCAGAAGAGGTACCTAGGTAGAGACAACAGCTTTCTATACTTTGCACCAGCTCTACTGTGTGGTCCCACACTTCAGTAGCTGGGTATAACTAGCTTCTCAGATTCACCTGCAAACTCTGACTTGCCCACTGCACCACTGCTTCAGGAAGGCTGATTAGTGACTTCTCTGATCTGTCAATTCCCCCTTACAGACTTTGGTTTCCAAGCTTCTCCCACAACTCCGTAAGGTCTTCTACCTATCATAAATTCCTTAATTCCATGATACCACAGCAGTTCGTTCTTCCTTTGTGATTGAACCCTGACACATGCAACTACTCAAGCCTCCCCTCCACCTACTGACCAAGATCTCTGCAACTTTCCCTTTAGAGATTCTCCCGCATAACCAAATCTAGCGCCACTTAGTCCTTTCATAATCTCCAATCAAGCCTTCTTTTATCAGTTCTGAGCTGCCCATCTTTGAAAGCAGGATGAAGAGCCCTCATTCTATGAAGCCATATCACCCAAACTTGATCCTCCCATTTGCAAAAGAGCAAGATTTACATGAGAGAAAACACTATAGAGTGGGTATCAGATTAACGAAACTGTTAGTTGCTCAGTCGTGTCCAACTCTTTGGGACCCCACAGACTGCAGCGCACCAGGCTCCTCTGTCCATGGAATTCTCCAGGCAAGAATACTGGAGTGGATTGCCAATCCCTTCTCCAGGGGATATTCCTGACCCAGGGATTGAACCCAGGTCTCCAGCATTGCAGGCAGTTTCTTTAACATGTGAGCCACAAGGGAAGCTCTAGTTTAACAAATGCCAATACCAATTTATTACCTAAGAACAAAATAAGCTAGGAATACTTAATGTACTTCTATGCTTTGGTTAGAGATGTGAAGATGGAAGAAAGGAAGAATAAAGAAGCAGAAAGATTCTGAGGAAAAAAAAAATTTGCTGGGACTTTCCTGTGGTCTGATGGTTGCAGGGGGCACAGGTTCAATCCACTGTTAGGGAACTAAGATCCCACACAGCCTCACAAAAATAAATATATACATTAAAATTTTTTTTGTTTATGTATGGTTTGCCCCAAATGTTTTTTCCATTGGGGAGTAAGAACTTTTTTTTAAATGTAATCATTTGGGGCTTATCCAGTACATCCATAAAACTATTTTAAAATTTCTAGTGGGCATAAGACTGCAGGTAAAATTTTTCCAATACTTTTTTTTTTCCTTTCCAAAAAGATCTTTCCTCCCTTTTGGCTAAAGTATTTCCAAAAATGTATTTCACTAGTCTTGGTTGCCCATTCATGAGAATAATTTAGTTCTTTTTCTGCTATTTTCTAGAATTCAATAGTTACTATCCTGGATTTTATCACTAAAATATCATCAGGTGACTCTGATTTCAATCATATCAGTCCTGAAGTTATTCATCTACTCTTTCAACATTTACTGAGAACCTATTATAGATCATCACAGTTCAACACAAGGTACCTGGCTATAAAATATCTTTAAGTAAAAGATGTCATTCTGACAAAGTAATCACATTTAAACAGAGCTATTTATCTTCCAAATGCTGTCCTGTAACAAATCTTTCCTGGATAGTTGTCATCTTAACAATCTCCCAAGCAAGAAAACTTGAATTTCTGTTGACTCTATTTTCTGTGATGCTGTGGCTCTCACAGAATCATATATTAGATAGGTCCTTAAGAAATCAACTCGGTGGGGGGGGGCCTTCCCTGGGGGTTCAGTGTTTAAGAATCCACCTGTTGATGCAAGGGACATCAATTCTATACCTGGTCGGGGAAGATCCTGTGTGCTGCAGAGCAACTAAGCCTGTGTACCACAATTACTGAGCCTGAGCACTGGAGCCCGAGAGCTGCAACCACTGAGCCCACGATCCTCGAGGCTGTGCTCCACAACAAGAGAAACCACCATAAGCAGCAGCCCAGGCACTGCAATAAAGAGTAGTCCCTGTGCAGCAAAAAAGACCCACCACAACCAAAAAACAGATAAATGTTTTTTAAAAAAGAAATCATCTAGGGCAACTTCTTCAAATTCAGAAATGTTGAACTCGGGACTTCCCTTGTGGTCCAGTGGCTAAGGCTCCACCCTGCAATGTGGGGGGTGCAGACTGGATTCCTGGTTTGGGGACTAAGATCCCACATGGTGTGGAGCAACTAAGCTGAAGCACTGCAAGTACTGAGCCCGTGGACCACAACTCTAGAGTCCGTGTGCTACAAAGAAAGATCTCACACGACACAGCAAAGACCTGTGTGTACCTGCTATGTGCTAAGATCATGCTTTTTAAAAAATTACTGAAGTCACTTTGTCACAGTCAACTTTTAATTAATGGCAGGTTTAAGAGTGAATTCAGGCTTTCTACCTACTATCAGTCTTCAAAAAACAGTATGAAATACAGTTTACAGTCTGTGTATTCACTTCAGGAACATTCAAGGCAAGAAATTCCTCAGGTACATCCCTAAGTAAACCTTCTAATCCTAAGGCAATATGCAACAGTCCATAACTATGGGACAAAACTTTGAGATGCTGATTAATACACATTACATGATCTCAGAACACAAAATTAATCTACTCTTTCTCAAATCACGGGGAAAGATTTATAATGAAGGTATATGGTGGTTTGGGGGTGGTCAACCGAATGCAGTCAAGTACTACTAACAGACTGGATGGTTAATGATACACTATCTCAAAGTAGATCTTTATCAACACTAAGGCTGAGCTAGCTACCTTCTACTTCTTTCATTTCCTTATAATATCTAATCAAATAAGAAAGTTCGTAAATGTTCTTTGACATGCCATTCTTATACATATGTCATACCATATAATAACTATTACTAATTTTACAAAGCACTCAACAGGTCTAAAAATGCCTAAACTGATTTTAAAGTGCATCAAAGCAATCATATAAACCATGATATTAATCTCTCTGCAAATTTAGTCAGAGAACATTGGTCTCGTTTCTTTCATATTAAAACAAAAGAACAAAATATTTTGAGTTAAAACTCCATAAATACCATTAAAATGTAGCTAAGTCAGTCAAACTTAGGGTAATGACAAACTTATCAAACAATAATAATGATAATGAAACATCTTTAAGTCACAAATCTAAAATACAATATGAGTTAGGAGCACATAACTATTACTAATAGCACAGAAACAATTGAAAATTTATTTCGCCTTAGACTGCAGATCTGTTCTCAAAGACTTACAAAAATAATAAATATTATCTCACATTCTCCCACTGATTCCTATAATTTTCAGAAACCTTTCACAGCCTTGCCTCTGTGGTAGAGCTGTTCACAAATACTTGATTTTTTCTGAGCATACAGAAACATTTCATTGAAATTCCCCACCCTGTTCAACTCATGCAGCTACCATCTTTTAAGAATCTGAACTGTAAAAGGAGGTCTCTTGTCAATTACCTATCCATTTAATAAACATGTGGCAACAGGTATTGTGGCAACAGGCACCAAAACCAACAAAGCACTGCGTCTGTGCTTGAAGACCTGATTTCTCAGTGGAAGACACAGACCACTACAGGGCTGAGCGGTCAGTGGGTGGTGGAGGCGAGTGCAGAGTGCTCAAGGACCATCCTGCTCAAGGGAGTGGCGCTGAGCAGACGCAATTTGGGAATTATCAAAAGAATGCCAATAAAATCGTATCTTAAACTATCCTTTTTAAGGCAAACGCTAACGAGTATGAAAGAGGAAATTAATAGTAACACAATAATAGTAGGAGACTTTAATACCCCACTCACAACTATGGATAGATCAACTAAACAGAAAATGAACAAGGAAGCACAAACTTTAAAGGACACAATGGACCAGCTAGACCTAATTGACATCTATAGGACGTTTCACCCCAAAACAATCAACTTCACCTTTTTCTCAAGTGCACACGGAACCTTCTCCAGAATTGATCACATCCTGGGCCATAAATCTAGTCTTGGTAAATTCAAAAAGATTGAAATCATTCCAGTCATCTTTTCTGACCACAGTGCAGTAAGATTAGATCTTAATTACAGGAAAAAAATTATTAAAAATTCAAACATATGGAGGCTAAACAACACGCTTCTGAATAACCAACAAATCATAGAAGAAATCAAAAAAGAAATCAAAATATGCATAGAAATGAATGAAAATGAAAACACAACAACCCAAAACCTATGGGACACTGTAAAGGCAGTGCTAAGGGAAAGATTCATAGCATTACAGGCCTACCTCAAGAAACAAGAAAAAAGTCAAATAAATAACCTAACTCTACACCTAAAGCAACTAGAGGAGGAAGAAATGAAGAACCCCAGGGTTACTAGAAGGAAAGAAATCTTAAAAATCAGGGCAGAAATAAATGCAAAAGAAACTAAAGAGAGCATAGCAAAAATTAACAAAGCTAAAAGCTGGTTTTTTGAAAAAATAAACAAAATTGACAAACCATTAGCAAGACTCATCAAGAAACAAAGGGAGAAGAACCAAATTAACAAAATTAGAAACGAAAATGGAGAGATCACAACAGACAACACTGAAATACAAAGGATCATAAGAGACTACTACCAGCAGCTCTATGCCAATAAAATGGACAACTTGGAAGAAATGGACAAGTTCTTAGAGAAGTATAACTTTCCAAAACTGAACCAGGAAGAAATAGAAGATCTTAACAAACCCATCACAAGCAAGGAGATCGAAATTGTAATCAGAAATCTTCCAGCAAACAAAAGCCCAGGACCAGATGGCTTCACAGCTGAATTCTACCAAAAATTTAGAGAAGAGCTAATACCTATCTTACTCAAACTCTTCCAGAAAATTGCAGAAGAA